TCCATCAAGAATAAATATGACTATACACGGGAATACTTTTTGTATCGTATACACTGAGAAACACAAGCAGCACCGTGTGGCGGGGAAAAAAGAAACAAAACAATTATATTATGTATCTAGAGAGAAAAAATATATCTAGATCTAGCTAAAATAACTTCTACGAAAAGGACAATATCCTATGTGCTTTATCAAATTTTGTGCTTGTCATATCTATCAGAATAAAATGAAAATAATGGGCTGATGTTATAACTGATTCCATGAGATCTTACTCAGTGACTTGTAGTCAAGACATATCAGAACAGAGGCTAAATAAATTACAGAGAGAAAAAGTCTGATAATAAAATATTTATGCTCCCATCAACGCAATTTAGTTCATTTAGGAGGCTAATCTAATCTAGGTTGAGAGGAAGGGGGTGGAGGGGGGAGAAGTGCTCAATAAAATAATTTCCCCTTCTGTGTGTCATAGTGAAAAGCCTAACCCCTACAGCACAGAAGCTGGGGAGAGAGAGAGAGAGAGAGAGAGAGAGAGAGAGAGAGAGAGAAAGAGAGGGGGGACAGAGGGAGGGAGAGAGGGAGAGATGGAGGGAGAGAAAGAAAGAGAGAGAGATAGAGAGAGAGAGAGAGAGAGAGAGAGAGAGAGAGAGAGAGAGAGAGAGAGAGAGGGGGGGGAAGAGATAGGGGGAGAGAGAGGGGGAGAGGAGGGAGGAACAAAGAGAAAACAGTCAGATAAAAAGGCGACTTGTCACAAACACAAAAGTACGACTGTATGGCGAATAATCTGAGTATAAGTTAGAACACCCACAGCTGGTCACAGCCCAAGGCTGATATATACCCTGCGCGTGGGTCACAAAGACAAAAACTATCACTGAGGTCACTACAACAACGTCTGACGTATATATAGTAAATGCCGTCGAAGGCGCTCGGCATCATAAATATAAGTCACAGTGGAAGTACACCTCATCGCAGTCTCCACACACACTCATATATATACACTCACACACACACACACTCTCTCTCTCTCTCTCTTTCTCACACACACACACACACACACACTCATAGTAGACCTATACAGCTGTTTACACATATATACCTGGACTGAAAATGAAAATAAAAAATTTTTACAAAGACATCCAAAGTTGAACATGACAGACTGATGAGGCAGGGTTTAGCATAAAAAAAATTATTTTTAAAAACGCTGAAAAAAGAAAACTGATGCAGATTTTAAAGACTGAACTGTAACCATTCCTCTCATACAACAGCATAGGCTACAACACAAGAGTGGTCAACGTTCACTCAACTTCCTTCACCACTAGCACAGCTGCCATACGTAGTTTCAGTCTAATGTCTCTGACTTCAGCCAACAACATTAATTGTGTGTCATTCTCAATCTCACATGATAAATTTAATGGACAGTTCCAATGTTGCAAAACGCATTAAACACCAAATCTGGTCACTACCAGAAAACCCGATAGATCCCCTCAATAATCTTATTATGATAAAAATTGTTGTGACAATATTTTTATCTCCTCAAAATACACACAATATCCCTCACTATTTAGTATGATAAAATGGCGTTTTGTTCATACTTTTGTTTTCAGAGAATAAGGGGTCATTTTTTTCTTCTTAGTTTTGTAGTAACTAGAGATGTACAATATGTACAGAATGCAGCATATTTCTCCATGGAGGATTTCATTTCCCCACACAAGAGCGCGACCTCAGTGCTTTCTTGTCGTATCTCCATTTTTTTTTTTACAGTGAAAATGTGACTTCTTCTTTTAAAGCTCACTCTTTATTATGTTCTGTTTTCACTGTTATTAAAAATAGAGAAGATACGACAAGAAAGCACTGATGTCGCGAGAGGCTGACTTAGGTAGTAGCCAACGTCTACGCCACAACACACAACACCCTCTCGCTCCGACACCACCCTCTCGCTCCGAGACTCGCTGATAAATAGTCCCAATCACTTCACGCATTATATTGCACATGATCAACTTTTTAAAATAATGTAGATGTTTTTTACGCCCCCACCGACACAATTTAGATCATGTAGGAGACAACCCAGGCTGAATGGGATACGACATCCCCGCAGAAAGACCCGAGATACTAGACAAAAATTTCTCTCCACTCAGGAATTGAATTCAGGTCTCCAGCGTGCAACAGCGAAGTGCCAGACCGCTACACCGCCAGTATGATCAACTTCCAGAAAGAATAAGTCACTACAGATGACTCCAGAACTTTTAACTGGACCAGCAAAATCTACAACTTCAGTGAAGCATACTACCTTCACAATTAACTTTATCTTTCTCCACAGGAAACAGTTACAATAGATTTACACAGAAAATATTTCACTCAAACTGACTTATTTCAAAGTTTAACCTTGAGTATTGTAATAAATCAAAATTCATCAAAACATTAAGATAAACGATCTGCATCAACCCAGACATCATATGTCAGATAAAAATATGTTAATGCGAAGAGAGATAAATATATATATACTATGTTTACATTTGTCAGGACAAACTGTCAAGTTATTGAACTGGCCCATTCATCCAAATAATCCAGGCTGACATATTTCACCAAAAGAGAAAAGTTAGCAGCACAGAGCTTCCATAGAACATGAAACAAGCTACACATGTGTGTGATGTCTCTCTTTAGCCTCGTGGCATAACTTGGTTTCTTTTAGAACACAAGAACACCTGCAGACTTTCATATACAGAGAGAATAGGTCAAAACCTCCATGTGTGTAGGCTGCAATTTCTCAAACCCTTCCTAAGACCACACTGACAAAAAAATCAGTAAAAAATGAGAAATTCTGAATCACACAGTGTATGTTTGAGAGGCAAAAACCATCAGTAAAAACAACATTAAGGTGAAAGCTTTACTTTATCAAGCCAACTTCAACTCCACAGATTCAGAATATCTATTTCCTACACAGATTGTGTGAACAAACTACTTTAAAGCTGAGCGTTAAAACATCCACAGGAGAATAACCAACATGTTCATCAAAACAGAACGACAGGCATATATTAATATAATATAGCTAACAGTTTGTACATATATATAGATTCCATATACATTTACACACGAATGAGAAAAAAAAATCCACACAGTGCATTTATGTGAGTATCTATCGAAGGGGGCGTAGTAGCCCAGAGTCGAGTAGCCTGTGACATTTATAGCAGCGAGACATCAATCATGAACGGGCAATCAAATCTCTGCGCAGAGACACACGTCCCTCTCCTTTGTTACTTTCAGTAAGAGTATTTCCGCCCTCGCAGCACAACTACTAGGTCGTCATGCATACAAATGCCCAAGATTAGAGAGGTGTTACTAGAGAGCAACATACAAAGAAAATGAAAAGGAGAACAGACACGGACGATTGATGTTTGATGAGAAAGAAGGAGCAAACTACACCTGAACACCTGTCAACCACCAACATTTCTCTGTGAAATTGGTGTCTAACAACAGCAAGCATTCCCTGATAGAACAACTCATCTCCACCAACTAACATTACTTATCCCAGACTGACGCTAAAAAGGCTGAAAGTTACGCACTGAGTTTTTTGTTGTTGTTTTGTTTATATAACGGGATCTATTTTTTTTTTGGGGGGGGGGGGGGGGGGAGGGGTGTTTGTCCATCGCATTTTTCATGAATTTTTAAAATTCGCAATCTGAATGTCTAGGATCATGTATTCCAATGCCCTAGCGCCCCTTTTCACATTTTAGGAACAATTTGATTATGAATTTCTTTTAAAAATGTGAAAATTGTTGCCTGGGCACAGGACACCAGCTGTAAGCTCACAACCATGACCCTGGGGGAAAAAACCCCCATTAATAATGTTGGTGTTTTTACGCCCCTATCGACACAATTTAGACGATTTAGGAGGCGGGCTTCTGGGCCTGCCTTTCAGGGCCAACCCGTGCTGAGAGGGATACAAGAACATCCCAGCAGAAAGACCGAGATACTCGATAAAAATTCTCCCTACTCAGGAATCGAACTCGGGTCTCCTGCATGTGACAGTGAAGCTCCTAACCATTATACTGCAGATGGCGGAACACCAATTGTAAGCTCACAACCTTGATCTCAGGATGTGCGAAACATTCAAAGCACGTCCACAAATTGTAACCACTGGCTAGAAACATTGAGCCAGGCAGATAACATGGTAACGCTAGTCTGACAACCCTGATCCTAGACAAGCCACACCCACTGTAAGCTAACACTGACCCTACCTTGAGCAACATTTATCATTTGACTTGCAACACTGACGCCAGGCTGACAACAGGCTAGCACTAGGCTGGCAACTTGTCTCAGGCAGAAACTGGTTCATGTTTTAATCCCCCTCCCCCCTTCTAAGAAAGAAAAGATTGCGAAATAGTAGTAATAAAACTCCCACCTAGCGAAAGTAGCAATGACATCCAATACAAGAAAGGTCAGCTTGTACTTTGCATACATTCAGCATGTGATGGTGTCAGACCGTGGAAGGTCTCCGTTTGTCTGTCGGGTATTGCCGGCCGTCAGGGGAAGCTATCAGGTGACAGTTGAGCTCTGATCACGTCCTGATGGGCTCTGTCTGTGCGATTGACCTAGTTCCACGCCTCCCGATCCGTACAGTCACCACATTCTCTCTATGGGACGAGGGCACGAGAAATCTCCTACAAGAGTTGTCACATTCAGCCACAAAGCCTGACACAGATCTTCTAAATCATCATCATCATAATAATAATAATAATGATGACAATAATAATAATAATAATAAAAATGATGATAAATAGCATTTGTATAGCGCATCCCAGCTCAACAGCAAGCTCTATGCGCTTTACAATCTTTATTATTACCCCCAGCAGACCCTAAAAACTCAGAAACATTCTTGGCTTCCTGGGATGCATACAGTGCAAGCAGCCGAATAAGCGTTCAAAAATTAAGAAACTGACAAGATCTTTCCCTGTCTATAGCTGGGTACCCATTCTCACCTGGGTGAAGTGGGGAAAATATGTGTAAAGTGCCTTTCCCAAGGACACAACACCGGTCCCTAATGGGTTCAAACCCACGACCTTCTGGTCATGAGCCCAACAGCCTAACCGCTAGACCATCGACGCCACATCAAACTGAGAGGGGAGAAAAGAACATTGCACAAACAATCTCGGAAAACACACCAAAAAAAAACAACGTCCAGGAGCAGAGAGAAATGATTGAGGGCACCTAGGTGGCACCACCAGCCGGGTTAGTTAGAACAGATAGGGCACGATCTTGTGCGGCACTTTCTTGCAGTACTGGTTCCAGAAAGATCCGTACTTCTTGCCGCACTTTGTGTCGTCGCGGTAGCTGCGATGGGTGAGCAGGATGACCAGCCAGATGACGTAGGAGTAGGGCATGATGTTGTCGCCCAGCGCTGGCACTGACCAGAAGAACGCCAGCATGATCTCAGGGATGTAGTGGAAGTGGCGTGACAGACCCCACCAGCCTGAGGCCAGCAGGATGCTCTCCCTTACGTCCCCGTTCTCCAGCTGGTACTTGGCGCGGATTATGTCTGGCTTGCGGCCCCAGATGAGACAGTTGCCGTCGGCGTAGCGTACTTCCTGCTTCTGGTTGTCCGCGTCGAAGTTGATGTAGATGCTGAGGGCGCCCAGGGCTAAAAATAGCAGCGTGACGAAGGGACCCAGGTTGACGGGATGCTCCACGAGGTAGTAGGACACGGACGCGTACAGTCCGGGGATGTAGACGAGACAGCCCCAGCAGATGTAGAATCCAGCGCGGTCCAGCATGATGTCGATGGTGCGCAGGTAGCCGGCCTCCCACCAGAAGAACTTGGTGATGTACAGAATCTGGAGGAAAGCGGAGACAAACATAGAGTCGACAAACCCGTGCAGCTCGAAGCTTTTGACTGCGTGAACGCACACCAGCAGGGCCCACACCATCATGCCGAACCGACAGTTGGTGAAGACTTTGATGTCGAACCCAAACACGCGGGGGTAAAGTTCCATCCCCCAGTAGTAGTCGAAGATGAGGTTACCGGAGGAGCCCGAATCCGTGGAGGAGGGGCAGAACCTTCCCTTCAGGTACAGGACAGCGCAGAAGAACAGGCTGAAGATGTTGAGCAGGGAGAGCACCTCGTCGAACCTGTCGTACAGGATGGAGGGTGACAGGCCGAACGGTCGCAGCGCCAGGGTGAGTGCCCAGAACAGAACGATGGTCAGCACGAAGAACACAAAGCCGTTGTCCTTGTACACCGGTGTGTTGCCTTTAGGGGTCAGCGGACCGGTCACCGTCTTCCCTGGGAGCAGCTTCATCATGGCGAGAGCATAGGCGCAGTAACCAATCAGAATCCAGACAATGGGGGCAGACGGGTAGTTGACCAGCGACCATATATCGCGGAGCCCCGCTAGAACGGAGCGACCCTGGAAGACGGAATACATCTTCATGTAGCTTCCCTCGCAGTGCATCACCGTGTACCAGATCAGGATCACCAGATTGGGTACAAACATGATGAGGAAGATGGGCACCAAGGTCATGGTAACCAGCCGTTTGACCCACTGTAAGGTGGCGCTCTGCGTCAGCTGCTCGTAACCATGGATACCGTTGGACAGCATGTCTGAGTCTGTGGTGGCTGCGGTATCCCCAGGACTCTCCTGTCGGTTGCCGCGCTTGCCTAGGCCCTGGCGGAGGAGCTGTTCCGCCTCGGCTGTGTCCACCTGGCAACACAGAGAGAGAGAGAGAAAAATCTGGGTAAGCAACAAGGAATAACGTACAGAAAAGTGGGAAGACATGGAATAATATCAAGATACTAGCCTAGCCCAGGATAGGAAAAGGTGGAAACTGTATGTTGGTGATCCAGGTTGAGAAAGACCATGACAATGAGGCAACAGGGAAAGCTTTGGACTGGAATCCACAAAGTAAGAGATCAGGGGGAAGGCCACATGGAACTCCGATAGAGAAATAAAAATCTGAGTAAGCCGACAGAGAATAATGTACAGAAAAGTGGGAAGAGATGGAATAATATAAAGAGACTAGCCTAGGACAGGGAAAGGTGGAAAGTGTTTGTTTGTGACCCAAGTTGAGAATGGCCATGACGATGAAGCAACAGGGAAAGTGTTGGATTGGAATCCACAGGGCAAGAGATCAAGGGAAAGGCCAAATAGAACCTAGAGAGATCATAGACCCTGGGTAAGAAAGACAATGATGGTGATGTGGATGATGATGATGACAATGAAGCAACAGGTATGACGACGAATGTGGACTGGGCTCCATAAACGGTACAAGAGCTTCCCTAACAAAAATTGTGACATTTTTATATTCTCTCATTTCTAGTGACTTAATATTTTAACTCACAGTTAACCTACAATAGCTCTCCTGCTTCATATCTCTCTCTCTCTCTCTTTATCTCTCTCTCTCTCTCTCTCTCTCTCTCACACACACACACACACACAATGTAGCATATATCTAAGCCAAACAACAGCCACACACACACACACACACACAGAATGTATATCTAAGCCAAACAACAGCCACACACACA